GTTTTAAATTGGACGAATAAAGAAATAGGATGATACATGCAAGAGTGTCCCCAATAATTAGTTTCTTGTATGCCGTGCGGGTATAGCGGGATTTTTATGATTTTTTTTTTTTTTTTTTTTTGCACAAATAAAATAGGGGAGTTGCATTATACATACGTAATTTTTTTTTTTTTTGAAGAGGTTAAAAATCTCACATTATTGATGACCAGTTAATTCTTCTGGAGAGTTTAAAATTCATGCCAAAAAATCAGGGTATTGCACTACACACAAAGTCGCATACACGAGTATATATGGTTACTCAAGTTCACATCCAATACCTCATACCATCTTATTGTTGCTTTTTATCCCAACAATCTGGCGCTATACAGTCTTCATTATTGCTATTAATTTTATTCCATATTATTATTGCTTTTTTATCCTAACTCTCTGGCACGAGATACTCTTCTTTATTACTAGTTTTATTCCATCTTATTATTGTTGCTTTTTATACAAACAACCTGGCGCTATACACTCTTCATTATTGCTATTATTAGTTTTATTCCATGTTAGTATTGTTGCTTTTACCCCAACATTCTTTTTTTCTTACTTGCATTTTTGAAATGTGTCAACTGAGAATGTTGGGATCAAGAAGATGGAATTATAATAAAATAGAGCTATACATTCTTCATCATTCATATTATTGTCATGATATATATATATATATATATATATATATATATATATATATATAAGAAAAACAAATTTTGATGTTTTTGTTAACAAGGTGATGTTCCTTTGTTAAAGGACAGAATTGTTCCTTTTATAACTGCAATGGTTAGCAAGATGGTCTTGCAGATCATTGTTATTGAAGAATAATCCTCACTGGGTGCTCCAGATTTATGGCCTTGTGCCTGACGAAAAGACTAAGCCATCATTGGGTCAAAAATATCTCCAACACTCTTTTGTTGGTTTATAAATCCAGATTATTCAGACGACAATCTTCATCTTTTTTAGTTTTAATATTTTGAGACGTTCTTCAGCATTGCCCAGATATTATTCAAAATTCAATGGTCCTTAAAAAGTTTTCTGTAATTTGGTTTTTATTTCACAAGTTGGCAAAAATGATTAGTTTAAACAAAAGTCTTTACATCTGAATCTGAAAACAAAATCCATATTCTTTAAACAAAACAGTTCAGACAACTTTTAATTAATGCTTTCAAAACTGCAAGATTAAAAAAAAGGAGATTGCTGTATCTGTCTTCACATAAGACGCATTTTTTTAAATGTAACTGCCCCTAACATAGGCGCATTACGGATGGGAGATGAGCAAGTGATGTACCCGGTAGGCTAAGGCGTTGAATGAGCCGGAGTCTGCACAGGCATAAAAATTGTTACTAATAATAAAATAGTAAAAACAATACAAATTACTACAGTAAATTGGTTTGATTTGTTTTATGGCATATCAACCTCAACCAACAAAATCTTTATTGCTGTTAACATGTTTTTCTTCAAAAATCCATTTCTGGAAATATTTTTCCTTGAAGAAATTTATAGCTGTTTGTATTGCTGGTATTTTTTTTTTTTTTTTTTTTTAAAGTATTGCTGATAATTTTTCCTGCAAAAATTATTGCTGGTAATATTTTTTTTTTTTTATTACAAAGTATTTCTGGTATTAAAACCTATTTTTACACGAGTTTGGGTGTCAACTATTTGCTCGTACCTGGGACGCTAACAGATGCTACCACCCCGGGTCAGGCTAGACCTGGGAATGCCAGCAACTAAGAGGTGGTTCTACAATCCTCAAAACCTCCTGATCAGAAGCCTTGCTGCTGGATGTAGTTTATCGTCATACACAGGACGCGAATGTAGTTTATCATCATACCTAGGACGGTACAGTAAATTGTGTTGATAATAATAATAATAATAATAATAATAATAATATATGGATGATAGTCTGGGCTGTTTTTAGAAATACCAGTTTCTGTTAGACTGCATTTGTTTTTTTTCTTCTTGTGGCTTGTTAGTAATATTCAGTGAAATATTTTGCTTATTCTACATCTACTCCAATTATCTATAAGAATTGATTCGCATTTATTATACTTTATTGATTGCTTTATATCAGTTTGTTTTGTTGATCTGTACCAGAACTCATTGATACAAATCTGCCAGTCTTTCTTTTCTGCTTTAGCAAATATAATTTAGTTTCCTTTGAAGGTGAAAGTTACAATATAGGATTCCATACTTTATTCAAGTTGACTGTTAGAATATTGTATTTGCAGGCACAAAATCAAAACATTTTCCACCTACAAAACCACTTTAAAATATATTTCAATAAATATATTATGAAACATACTAAAAAAAAATTTTTTTCACAAAACATCCTTGTAAAAATAGAGTGGTGGGGGCGTCTTATATGGGGATGCGTGTTATACAAGAGCAAATACAGTATATAAGAAAAAAAAAACCAAAAAAAAAAAGCAGTGAATTCTGTCTCAATTGAACACATTGCAGCCACCCATTC